TTATAGTATGTTCTCCTATTTCCAACCTCATGACAGGTAGTGACAAAGGTCCTGAGAATTCAGAGATATGTAGTACTGTGCCTCAGCAGAGAAAGGCTTCCCAAACAACTGGTGAACTCCTGTGTATTATACAGATCAGTGCAAAATAATTTCTGATCATACTTAATTATTTAGGTGGCACGCCTGCTCACACACAAGGTTTGTGAGAACAGCCATAGAGTTTTGAAGTCTGAGAAAAATGAAGCAAAGATGAAAATGTTATCAAGGACAGGGTAAAAATTTGTGAAGGACAAATTCCAGAAAGGGCTACCTGTTAAATTCTCATCGAAAAATGCCAAAATTTACGCATTTGCATGGACATATACATGTGATATCCTTCCAAATGGAAAGGAATAGCGGTGTCACCTCTGAACTAAGAGCTGATTCAGTAGCTTGGTTGTTAATAGACAGTTTAAATATGAAAATTCTCTACAATGGAGTTATCTAAGTGGTGTAAATGAGAAGCCCTAAATAGAAATTTAGCAGTGATATCGATAGTTAGGCATGAAGGGTTTTCTGCTTAGGATGGATCAGAGGAGTGTGGAAACGATGTGGAAGTGACTGACAGGATGCAGGCAGCAAATAGCAGGACATACAACAGAGAGCATCTTCACTGAAAGTCAGGTAGTTTTTAGAGTAAGTATGAAGTAAAGTTGGGTTCTGATTGCTTCATTGAGGTAATCAACACCAGCTCTGGCAACAAACAATCAGTATTCCACATCCCTGTCAACCCATAATTTTTGTGTTCCATACTTGAGATCTAATTTGATTATCTCTAATTATGCCCCAGTGTCATGAAGCTGAAATTTTCAATTTTTTTTGTACCAAGGATCAAACGCATGACCTATGCTTTCCAGGCAGGTGTTCATGCCACTGAGCTAAATACACAACTATGAAAATGTTTTCTGTGTTGTATGGATGATATCCACATTGTTTCTCAGAAAGTGTTCAATATTGTTGGAATTTTTCAGTATTGTATGGCTATAATTTTTTTAAAAACAAACCAAAGGTGTCTTATGCAGTCTCTTTTTAAGTTTCACTTTATCTGTTCGGTGTCTCAATCAGGGTTTGTCTATTTTAGACAGCTCTGTAACTTAGGATAGCCCCAAATTCAAGGAAGAAATCCTTCACCAGCCTCCCAAGATTTATTTCTTATATTTGAATTGAAAGTGATCACTTGGTGACAGTGAGGTATAATTTATAGCTTGGGCCTGGTTTCATTTTATATACATATTTTTAAAATACAGCTGTTTTCCACTAACACTTGAGTTATTATTTATATACCATATTTGATGTTATTTATGTTTTGTTCTATGAAACCAAATTCATGTTTCAAAATGCTGCTTAAGCATATTAAGAACAAAGTATTCATGGTCTAAATGAGATTCGAACAGACATCATCTGTAGTCTATCAAAGTGATTGCTGAGATTTTTTATTTAATTTTGAAATTGGTAAAATAGAACAAAAACAGGCAGCATAAGGTCAACTAAGATCACACAGTGAAATTGGTACACAACTTCACAACAGGTTACTGGGATAACAGTAATAGTAATCACAGTATATTTTGTTATCTTTGTCATAATTGTTCTTTAATCACATATATCAAAATGAGATGAAATACAGAACATTATAGAACTTATCAAAACAGAATATTCAATTGAGCAGTACCATTAATCAGAATGGAGTGAAACAATAATAAAAACATTTTCCTTCAAAGAGATAGTAGAATGAAGCCCCCTTATTTGCTATGGTCTAATTCCCAGGAGATGCTCAGATTTCTGGTTCCCATTTGCTAATGTGGGGTGATAGGAGAAGAGGGGTAGGGAAGTGGGATGTTTGATTCTAGGTGGTGCATCAGTAGTTTCACTATTGCTTAGTAGGGAGACAGGCTGGTTGTTTGGTTTCACAGAGCCCTAAGTTCCCACATAGAACAGACCTTAGGAGCTGCTGCTGGTTATCCCCCTGGAAGGGCTGCAGTTTTCCAGATTGCCACTGCTGACTGGGGAGGGGAGGTGCTTGCTTGGCTTCCCAGGCAATTGATGAGACATTTATCTGCCTCTGTGCTTTGTGGTTGCTGGTCCTGCAGGCTTCTCACTGTGAGCTCTGCGTTAGAGAAAGTGCACAGGGAATCTTGCCATGACTCAGCACAAGAATCAGTGCTCCAATTTGGCTGTTATATTAGCAGTGAGTTGCAATCTAGCATCAAATTTGCTGTCTTCAAAAATGTGTATAGACACAAAATTAATGACCAAGACATGGATTTAAATTTGAACAAATCAGTCTTCATTCAGCTGTTTTGTTTGGCTTTATTTGTTGAGTTTAGTTTTGTTTTATTGAGACAAGCTTTCTGTATGTATATCAGCTGGATTTGAACACCGTATTGAGCCTAGAATTGCCCTGACCTCACTGATGCCTTCCTTTCTCCCCTTTTGAGTGCTGGGATTATAGATATGCACCACCGCACTTTGCTTTTGATTCAGATTTGTAGGAAAGAATTTAAGATATCCCAAACCTGGGGTCTCAACCTTCCTTTGAGAAATATATGTATGATCCTTTAGGAGGTGGTGACCTTTGAGGATGTCGTTGTGAACTTCAGCAGTGAGGAGTGGAGTTTGCTGAGTCCATCCCAAAAGAACCTCTACAGAGATGTGATGGTCGAAACCTTTAGAAACATGGCTGCAATAGGTAAGGAAGAAATGTTTTTGGCACTCATGCTGTCAGAATATTGTTTGTTGCTCATTAGTGCTGTTTCGTTAAAAAGAATATGAAAATATTTTTAAAAATAGCTCAGACCTGGACACATTATATCATAAATCTAAACAAAATCTCTTAATTTGTATGCATTACTCAACTGAGTCCTGGTATTTCTATGTCTACAATTCAGGAGGACTTGGGGATATCCAGGAAGCTGAAAAAGAATGCAAAGTTTACTGGAGATACTTAAGGTAATTCACACTCACAAGGAGAGGAATGTTCCTGAGTAATTAGTGAGTCAGCAGAAAAATGACCACCAAAGAAATGAGGCACCATTCAATTTAATGTCAGTAATAATCTCCAAAGATGTATAAGCTAGTGTATATATGAAGGAATTAAATAATGAAAATGTATGACATTGCATATAGATGATTAAAAAAGGCATACACTTTGAGTTATGACATTCTGCCTTCAGCTTTTCTACCCATATATACATGTGAATACAACACTTTCATTATCTAACAATTGCTAAGATTGCAATAGAATTTGAAATAAAACTGAGTGTTCATGTTTCCAAGCCATGCTCTAGATAATCGGCGATTCTGACTAATATTCTTAGTAGGCTGGTGGAATGTTAGTGCACTCATTTTGAATATCAGTATGCAGTTGTCTCTAGAAATTGATCCCCTCATACTTGTCCTGGATATTTTTAAAATCTCAAAATCTGCATAAAATACTGATACATGCTTACTCATATACAAAGCAGATCAAGTTATAACAGATAAGGCCTTGAAGCTTATATATTTTCACTGGATTTGTGGAGAAGGAAAATGTTAATAGACTCTCTGTGATTGTGCATTCTTGTATACTCAGCACACTAGGAATCAGATTTTGCAGAATGGCAATTTCAAATTCATACTTCACAGCTTAATGATCTATGAAAATCTCTTAAAATAGATTTTTAAAAAGATATAGATTTATGCTAATACCTGTTGTTCATTCCCAGCCCTGAATGGAAAAAATGTGTTATATAATGTCAAAAAATAAATAATATAATTTCATTTGCTATAAGAACTAGATGGGTCTTTCACCCATCAATTCAGTGAAATAGCTCAGCTATAAAAACTAAAAGGTCACTGGCTTTCTTTTAGATGAGAAACCAAAATACAAAATGTGGAAAGAAATGAAACAGAGTTGTTAGAGAAACGTCACAGGTTAATGATCAGCAAAATTCTCTTAAAACATATTTAAAAAGCTATAGATTTTATGATAATAGCTGTTGTTCATTCCCAGCACGGAAAAGAAAAAATGTGTTACATAATGTCAAAAAAACAAATAATATAATGTCATTTGCCATAAGAAATAGGTGGTTCTTTCTCCCACCAATTTGATGAAATAGCTCAGCTATGAAACCTAAAAGTTCACAGGGTTTCTCTTAGATGAGAAACCAAAATATAAATTGTGGAATGAAATGAAAGAGTTAATAGAGAAAAGTAAGACTGACCATATGGAAAAGGGAACTACAGGTTAAGGACAGAAGGAAGATTGTGATGGGGAAACATATGAGAATAATTTGCATGTGATACACATATGTACCCATGCCCAAAGTGAAGCTAAAGATTATGCATTTCAAAGTACCAACTTTTAAGATTTCCAAATGTGTACCAGTCTTTTGGGAATGGTTGTTTTCAACATATCTTATAAGGCCTTTCTGTTGCTTCATGGTCAGAATTTCTTAGCAGGCATTAAAAACAGAACTTGATATTAATGCAGTTATTCAATGGAGACCAATTTCACTGTCAATTTTTCTTTTTTTAAATTTAATATAAGTAAAGATTAAATAAGACAAAATAAGTATAAATAATACTGCTTTCAAAGTGAAAAAAACAGTAAGAAATTGCAAGATGATGATTACAAATGCTGATCATAGAAATAGTTATGAAATACAAAAGTGAAACATATGAAGTGGGGATTCAAATAGTGAGACTGCAAACAGTTTTGTTCAACTCTCCAAGAAAAGCTTAGTAATATGGTTATAAATCCTATATGTGATTTTTTCTTTCCAGAAATGACAAGCTAGGGAAATCTTATGAACATACTTGGAAGCAGTATAAAGAAGTATTCCTTTGTATTGCAGAAGGTAATGTGAATGTGAAAGAAACAGAAACACACCACGATGTTCAGATCCATGAAAAATATTGCAGTCGAGGGAAACGCTATGTATGCAAACAATGTGGGAAAGTTTTTAAAACATGTGCATATTGTAAGGTTCATGTAAGAATTCACACTGGAGAGAAACCCTATGTGTGTAAGCAATGTGGAAAAGGTTTCATACAACCTGGAAATTGTAAGGAACATGAAAGAATTCACACTGGAGAGAAACCATATATGTGTCAGCAATGTGTAAAAGGATTCACCAAATCAAAACATTGTAAGCAACATGAAAGAATTCACACTAGAGAGAAACCCTATGTATGTAATCAATGTGGGAAAGCTTTTACCAGACATGAATGTTTTAAACAACATGAAAGAATTCACAGTGGAGATAAACCATATGTATGTAAACAATGTGGGAAAGCTTTTAACACACGTACAAATTGTAAGGTTCATGAAAGAATTCACACTGGAGAGAAACCCTATGTATGTAAGCAATGTGGGAAAGCTTTTAAAACACAGGGAGATTGTAAGAATCATGAAATTATTCACACTGGAGAGAAACCGTATGTATGTAAGCAATGTGGGAAAGCTTTTACCAGACCTGAACGTTGTAAGGGACATGAAAGAATTCACACTGGAGAGAAACCATATGTATGCAAGCAATGTGGGAAAGCTTTTAACACACGTGTAAATTGTAATGTTCATGAAAGAATTCACACTGAAGAGAAACCATATGTATGTAAGCAATGCGGGAAAGCTTTTAACACACGTACAAATTGTACGGTTCATGAAAGAATTCACACTGGAGAGAAACCATATGTGTGTAAGCAATGTGGGAAAGCTTTTAAAACACAGGGAGATTGTAAGAATCATGAAAGAATTCACACTGGAGAGAAACCGTATGTATGTAAGCAATGTGGGAAAGCTTTTACCAGACCTGGACATTGTAAGGAACATGAAAGAATTCACACTGGAGAGAAACCATATGTATGTAAGCAATGTGGGAAAGCTTTTAACACACGTGTAAATTGTAATGTTCATGAAATAATTCACACTGAAGAGAAACCATATGTATGTAAGCAATGTGGGAAAGCTTTTAACACAAGGGGATACTGTAAGAAACATGAAAGAATTCACACTGGAGAGAAACCCTATGTATGTAAGCAATTTGGGAAAGCTTTTAACACACGTACAAATTGTACGGTTCATGAAAGAATTCACACTGGAGAGAAACCGTTTGTATGTAAGCAATGTGGGAAAGCTTTTACCAGACCTGGACGTTGTAAGGAACATGAAAGAATTCACACTGGAGAGAAACCGTATGTATGTAAGCAATGTGGGAAAGCTTTTAACACACGTGTAAATTGTAAGGTTCATGAAATAATTCACACTGAAGAGAAACCATATGTATGTAAGCAATGTGGGAAAGCTTTTAACACAAGAGGATCCTGTAAGAAACATGAAAGAATTCACACTGGAGAGAAACCCTATGTATGTAAGCAATGTGGGAAAGCTTTTAACACACGTACAAATTGTAAGTTTCATGAAAGAATTCACACTGGAGAGAAACCCTATGTATGTAAGCAATGTGGGAAAGCTTTTAAAACACAGGGAGATTGTAAGAAACATGAAAGTTCACATTCAATATAAAACCAGGGTATATAGGCATCATGAGAATGGTTTCAGCACATGTACATATTGATTAATGCATGAAAATCTTCACACTGGGCAGAAGACTTACATATGTAAGGAATGTGGGAAAGGTTTCAGCAGAAATGCTCATTGTCCAATACATTATAAAATTTGCATGGTTGAGAAACCCTGTGTGTATGTGAAGAATGTGGGAAAGCTTTCACCACACATGGATTTTGTAAAATACATCTATGACTTCACACTGGTGAGAAAGCCTATGTATATAACAATGTGGCAAAGCTTTTACTGCATATAGTCATTGCATAACACATGAAAGAATTCACACTGGGAAGAAGCACTGGCTATATAAGCAAGTGGAAACATTTTCAGCAGCCAGATTGTAAGTGAAATACATGAAAAAAAAACTCACACAAGAGATAAATCCTATGTGTTATGGGAATAATCTCCGCATACTTGATCATTGTTACATATCTGAAAGAGCTCACTAGGCCGAGATGATATGTGGATTAACAATGTGAGAAATATAGCAATGCATGTTTCTTGTTAAATACATAGAAAAAGCATCACTGTTCAGACAGTTTAGATCTAAGTTTACTTTAAAAATCCCAAGGAGACCTGAAGAAATAATCGATACAGAAGTTAGATGTCAATATTTCTTCACAAATATTCCAGAAATGACAAATCTGTGGTGCGGCTCTCCTTAGGGGCACATGTTGTATGGTTTACAGTTAATCACTTGTACCTCTCTAGATTTATTAATCTAGATGTTTTTGTGCTTCAACATGGCATCTTGTAATTAAACATGCTAAACTGAAATGGGCTTTTCACTTTCAAGTATGGACAAGTGCCTCCATACTTAATATTTTGTCTTTAAAACTTAAATTTTGTATTTTCTGAATTGTAATGTTGTTTATTTAAAGAGAAAAAAGTGTAGAAATAATACAGAATTTCAGAAAAATAAACAATAAGAAATCACTAGTTGATTAGTATTATATTGTCATCTTAGAAGTAGTTGTTCAAGTTACAAATTTAAAGCATACAAAGTGATATTCAAATAATGACACTGTCACGGTTTACCTCAATGATCCACCAAAAAGTTATTAATATGCCAATCTGTCCTACACACTTTTTTTTCTTAAAGAGGGTAAAATTAAACATAGCAAAACAGAGCAAAACTGTTCATAAGGAAACAAGTTAAGGAAACACAGATTTCAAAGCAAGCCCACTGGAAATGTTCACTGTCTATCATATTGTCTCTAGTTTTTTTCCAAATAGTTGTTCCCATCCTCACACACATTGAATATATACTGAATATTATAGAACTAATCAAATAATTACAGGATGATGCAAGCTTTTTCGATCTTCAAGACTGATTTTGGGGAAGTTGATAATGACTACCATAATGTGTCTCATGGTCTTTGTAGTAGCTGTCTTTATCTTTATGTATGCTGAAATGGAACATAAGAGACTAGACTAATATCACTCTGAACAGTGAATAATAGTATCCTGAGAAGGAGAAAGGTGAGGAATTGCCTAAAAAAAGAAGGCAGAGGACATAGTTAAAAGTGTATCAGGATTTAAAAGCTACAGTAGTCTTGTTGCTCTGTATGGTTTGGTTATATTTTGTTCTGGTCTATCTACTCATATTAGATTTGAGGGCACAGAGAGATAACCCAAAAATAGCAGGTTATACCATGGTAATTATCCTTAATTTCCTATTAACTAAAACTGGATCCCTATATTACTTACATTGTCTTCTATGACTGATCTTTGAAGCTGGATTGTTTCAATGTTATTTGGCCTTGACTGATTTTATTCACATTTGGTATGCTTCCTGATATCAAGTTCAAGAGCACAGGCAACTACTCTGAAGATGACAATGTGTAAAAGATATCCATTTGTGGGCTGGGGATTTAGCTCAGTGGCTTAAGGCACCTGCCTGGCAAGTGTGAGGCCATGATTTTGATCTCCAGAGCCAAATAAATAAATAAATAAAAGATATCCATTCCAGGTTTGATTATTTTTTTAATTAAAGAGAAGAAAGGAAATAAAAAACAAAGCAATAAAAGGGTACAAGTAATACAGAATTTCAAGAAAAAATACAGAAAGAAATCACTAGTTAATAGGTTACATATTGTCATTGCTAGGGTTATTTCCAAAAGATGAAAATATTAACAAAAGATGAGAAATATAAAATAAAAAGTGGCCTTTATTCTGAGAACCCAGAGAGAGATGCCCAGCACCCCCACCGCTGGCGTCCGGCGATCTCTCAGGCGCAAAGGTGACGTGGGGGCCTGTAAATAGGCTCAGTTTGGGGTGGAAACTAAGGCGGGCATTAGGGATACACAGGTAGCCCATTGGTCCTAGGTTTGGCGCCATATGTAAATTTCCAGGGGCAGGAAGATGGCGTCACAGGTAACTTCCTAGGGGAAGGGGAGATGGGGCTTCCTGCTTCCGGTTGTGGCTTTCCTGGCTACAGTGTCCTATCTGGGCCAAAACCCTTTCAGTCATCTTAGAAACAGTTGTCCAAATTATAAAATTCAGGCATATAAAGTGGACATTCATACAGTGAGATTGCAGAAAGTTCTGTTCAGTGATCCAACAAAAGCTCAGTAATATGATTTTCCATCCTACACACTCAAGCATGCAGTTGTATCCCTTAGACCACCTTCCTTTCCTCTCCTTTTTACAATAACAGTTACACGTTTTGAGTTTTTTTTTACTCCCACAGTTCTTATTACATTTTTTGAAGAGAATACATCCTAACATGACTAAATAAAACAGAGACAGTTAGAAGAGAAGGATGAGCATAATACATGATGCAAAAATAGAATATCAGATGATCAAAAATGGTTACCATTGTGCCTCTTGCTATTTTTAAAAAGAGTTACTATATCATCAGGTATAATAGAATTGATCAAAACAGTACAGAACAAGCCCAATAAAACCTACACTGGAAACCTGGCAAGACTTCAAAAGAAGATAATAGTCAAACTATAATGGGCATCATAATAAATCTTATTGTCTTCAAAGTGGTTGCCTATACCCTCAAACTTGATACTATCAAACAAAATACAATATAGTAAAATCAAACACAACAAGATGTGGAGAGCAATACTGGGGTCAAATCAGGTTAATAGGAAAACAAATAGTTACTATAATATATCCCGCTATTTTTAAATTTAGTTTTCCCCTAATTGAAAAAAATAAAAAAGTTTAATTTAAAAAAAGGGTGGAGATTGAGATAAAAGAGGATATTGTAATAGAACAACACTGGTCAGAATGGAACAACTTAAGTATAATTGTGTTTCACTCCCAGATAATCTAACATAATAGTAGTCACCATAGTGCGTCATTCCTTGAATTATTTAAGTATAACTTCATATATGATAGCATCAAGCATATCAAGACAGTGTAAAGCCATTCAACAGAATGAAAGAATTACAGGGTATTTAGAACCAGTTAACAGAAAACGAACAATGGTTTCTATATTATCTCCTTGCCTATAAAAATTTTTCTTTATACTATCACATATAGTAACATATAGTAAGATGCAACATGTTAAAACCAGTGGAAACATATAGTTTGTTAGAGAGGGACCATTCTTGCACCACTGAGATTGAGCCCAGTGTTGATCATGTTGGTTAACTTTGAATATGCTGGTGAGTTAACGTTGTAAACATTTAGCTGAACACTTTTGTTTATGTTTGGTAGGAATATTAGCCAACAGAGTGTTTTCATTTATATTATTTTTAACACATTATTGTCTGGCTTCATTCTCAGGATAACTTTAACGTTGTCACTTAAAAGAAGTTGGTGGTGGGTTTTCCTTCAACTTGATCAAAGAATTGAAAAAACAATCAGTATATATTCTTTATTATATACTGGATAAAATTCACCAGTGTACTTTTTGTATCCCAGCTTTGTTGTTGTTAGTAAGAAGCTGTGATTTTTACCCATTGCCTGTGCTCCTTATTGCTCTGTTCATCACACTATTTCCTTCTGATGCATGTGGTTTGGGGACATCACATATCCATTAAGGGTCACATCTCATTTTACTTATGGATGCTACAATTTATTTTGTATCTTCAAACTATCTCTATAATATATAATTTTGTGAGTAACTCCTTTCAGTTACTCAGATTTAATGCACATTTTGAATGGTGTGGTTACTGCTGGAGGAAACTGGGCCTGGTGAGGGCCTGGTCTCTAATTTAAAGCTTCATACCCTGACCTGCCTGCAGTGTACCGATCTCCTGACCTGCTCCCTGTAAACACCTGTCCTGCTCCATAACTACGGTGAGTCCACATGTGGCAGTTCAGATCTGCACCTGGGTGGAAATCGTTCAGTCAAGTTGGGCTCTGTAACAGACTGACCTCATACAGAGCTCCCCTGAGTGAGAGAGGGGACCTCAGGCATGTAGGGAGGAGCTCTGGAACCATTCCAGCTCTATCCTGTGCCACGTACAGTGTGTGATGCTTTCCTGACAACTTACTGATGGATGAGGAGGACTGAACCAGGCCTTTTTTAGCCATGGTGTCCTACACCTCTGCCTGGACCATCTCTCTGACTTTAGATCTCCACATAGATCTGAGCAGACTCAGTCTTCCTCTACCAGGCTCTAACTCTATGCTGAGGTTTCAGGTGTAAAAGTCTGAGACCCTCAAATTAATCTTATATACATTTAACCTGGAAATTCCACTTCTAAGAGTCATTATAAAAATGAGATTGACAGACACCGTATTCTCTTCTTAATCAGTTAAGATGTGGACTGTTAGAAACCATGAATGTTCCACAGCACATCTGCTGAATTAATTATAAATTACAGCCACTGAAAATGCTGAAAGAAGGCCATGTCCTAGGCCATGTCCCTGATCTTTCCTGAGATTGAAGAGAGCTTGTGTCCTGGCTCTCCACCCAGTAGTGAAGAGACACAGGCCTGCACAGCAGGTGAGGATAGGAGAGAGGAGCTGGTCAATAGCAGACTTCTCATCCTGGGAGGGATGCCTTTATGGTTGTTCCATTTTATTTTCCATTGCATTATTTATAGTGCTCCACTCAATATTACTTCTCTTCTGTTCAATTCACTTAAGAATAAATAGTTGGTATTTTCTTGAATAGGTGAGTGGATTTGGATGACAATATTTTTTTATGTGTAATATAGGATAAGCATATAGAAGAACATTCAAGCATCACTTTATAGATATATAAAATAAGGAGTCTTTTTATTCAGAAAGGCAACACATCATTCATGACTAACTTTTAAACCTGCCATGTGGATCGTGCTGTGGTGGGTGTCCTGCCCTCCCTACCTGAGAAATCACTGTGCTCATCTGTGTCTGGTAGAGGACACACAGAATCTTCTTCAGAGTCTCTTTTTCCAGCAGGGAGGACTTGAATCTTCCTGTGCTCAGGTCAAGAAGGGAGTGTGCAGCATGCAGAGGAGCCCAGCACCTCCTGAATTATACACACTTCCACCACTGCATCCACGCTGCAGCCCTGCAGGGCCAATAAGGCAGAGCCATGAGGGTGCACCAAATACTCTGCCACCTCAGCCCCAGGGGCCTCAACTCCTGGGTCCTGGCCTCAGCCTCCACCAGGCTCCAAGCTCTGCTATGGATTAGACATTCATAGTGGGCCAGACACACCATCAGTGCCTTGGGGAAAAGTCCATTTTCTACAGTGACCCTTCCATTCTGCAAATTTTGATCCTTTCCTTTCTAAATGAGGCTGAGGCATTGGAGACAAAACCCCACACATTGGCATTACTTTTTGTTTTTCTTTCTTTTCCTCCTCCTCCTACTCCACCTCCTCCTTGTATTTCTTCGTCTTCTTCTTCTTCTTCTTCTTCTTCTTCTTCTTCTTCTTCTTCTTCTTCTTCTTCCTCTTCCTCTTCATCTTCATCTTTGTGTTCTTCTTGGTTTCTTTGGTGCTTCAAATACTTATTAAGAGGTGTGTTTTGCCAAAAAACTTTCCTTGTCTTTTCACACCCCAGTTAACTGAAGTTTTTGCAGATTTCTGCTGCAGTTCACACCCTATGTGTTTGAACACTCAGAGTCCATTCTGCAGCTTAGTAGAATGAGTGAAGCAAAGCAGAAACTGAACTTGGGGATGTTACTGTCAAACAGTAATAGCATCCAGTCTCCTCCAGGAATGTTTGGCCAAACAGAATCTGATGCACTGATATGAAAAACCCAGGTTAGTAAATCACAGTGAGAGAAAGGTCAGCGGTGGGTGGGGGCTAGCAGGAGAGACCAGGGGTATCGATGGGTCCAATACTGAGCAGAAAGCTGGAACTAGACAGATGTACAGATATAGATTGTGCCAGTTGACAATGTGCTTACCTGTGACTCAACTGAACATGTGGAATCTAATGAAATCTTAACTTAAAATTAAATAATCTTAGAATTTAATGTTTCAAAGAACTATAGATTTAAGAGTAGAAATGAAAACTGAGAGAAATAGAAGAGGCAAAGTGAAGGTGAAATGAAGGGCTGGTACTTTGCAAGACTTGAGCCCTAAGTGGAGCTGAGGACACCTGCCATGGAGCCAGTGACAGACCTGCCTTGGAATTCCACCAGACCGGGTATCTGACCTTGATTTTTAGGTTGATCCCAGAGCTGGTGAGGTCATTGGAGGTGAGGCTGGCACAAGATCTATAAGGAGACCTTGAACTCAGTCTGGTACCAGACCTGCCTTAGAAAAATCCCCAACTGTCCTTGCTCCTTGCAAGCCCCATAGCCTCCCAGGGCCGGTGAGGGACAGCTCTGTGCACTAATGCACCCAAGGAAACCTTCCTATTTTGCCTCACTCCACTCACTTCTGCATGACTCTGTGTTGCAGGAGGCCCCTGACAGTCTTTCTCCCTCTAAAGTGTCCCATGTTCTCCTCAGAAACCAACAGACCCAGGCCAATTCCTTCTCACTGTAGTTCTCATTTTCAGTGAGCTAGGCTTGGCCCAACTCAACCATATTTGGTTGGGCTGGTTGTCCCACCTTCCTCAGCAGCATCTGCCAGGAGCCAAGAAGGGAAACTCTGATCCTGAGGAGGACAGTTGTAAGCAGCACTACAGGTCTGGCCTCCCTCCCAAACTGCCCTCCCAGTGTATCCTGTGCACTAACCAAAAATCAGCCCTCACTTGCTGACAGAGTTCCCTGGACAGTGCTGTGACCACCTGTCCTCCACTCTTCAAGAAGCCTGAAATGCATTTCCCTTTACCACCCTTGTGGCATATTGCCTCTATGGAAAGAGGGTGGAGTCTGCAGTGTTACTTTAATCATGGGGGCTCAAAAGGGTGCTGCTC